TTGTCAAGCCCTATATATATATATATATATATATTTTACAGGTTAATATGCATATGTACACAACATAGGATGCCAGCACTGAGACAGATGCTATGGAATCAACCAAAAATTGCCATAGTGTAGAATTAATGTTAAGAATAATTACAGAAATATCCTCCGTCTTTCTAAGGCCCTGGTTCAGAAAAGCAGTACTTCAGCACAGCATTTGTGCATGTGCTTAAGTCCTACCTAAGTCAAATTAACCATATGCTTCAGCCATATGTTCCTCAACTGGGACCTAACGGTAAATTTTCCAAAAATGCATAAGGATATATCTACCCTGCTATATAAGCCCAGGGTTTGAACTTGGGTTCAAGCCTAACCCCTTTTCTGTCTTAACACTAATCATGACAACCCAAGACTTGGACTCAGGGTCACAGGACCTCTCAGGTGTGGAGGGTCTAAGCCTGAGTCAAGCTAGTTCAAGCCCTATTGCTTTGCAGTATTGATGTTGCTTTCAATCTATCCTGAAAATAATTATCTGCACAATTATCTGAATTTGTGCTTTTGGGCTATGTCTACACTGAAAGGTTTTTGCGCAAAAGAGCTGGTTTTGGCGCAAAAACCGGTGGAGCATCCACACCTCAAGTGTATTTTTACACAAGTAAATCAGCAGAACAGAGGGCTTTTGCTGGTAGAATTATTCCTCTCCCCACGAGAAATAACTCCTTTTTGCGCTACAGCTCTTGCGCAAAAAGGCAGGTGTGGACACTTCAGAGGGGTTTTTGCGCAAGAAACTCCTATTGGCAAAAGCACAGGTGCTCTGATGGCCATTCTGTGACCATGCAGTGTAGACACTCCTACACAAACGCACATCGCTTTTGCAATGCGCTTTGAGATCTGGACACGCTTTTGCGCAAGAAGTTTTTGCGGAAGCTCTCTTCCACAAAAGGCTTCTTGCGCAGAACCCTGCAGTGTAGACAAAGCCTTGGAGTCCACCAACAGACCCACACGCCAACTTTCTTTATGCTTTGGACTATCACATTTCCCCTCACAGACCATGAACAAAGGGCTAGAGTGGTCATAGTTTGGGGAGGTGCTAGGAAGTACGGCATACGGATAGTTGGACTTGGGCCCTCATAATCAGTGTAGGTGCTGCAGCCCCAGGTTGGATCCGAGGGCTCAGGAATCCCTAACTTGGGGTTACAAATGAATGTAGACACTCAAACCCTTGTTCAACAAATCCAGGGTCTGCTAACTCAAGTTCTATTAACCTACGGCTTATTGCTGCAATGTAGATGTACCCTCAGTGACTCTGGATATTCCTGCACTGCAGTAAGACACCTGGGCTACGTCTACACTGGCCCCTTTTCCAGAAGGGGCATGTTAATTTCAGCGATCGTAATAGGGAAATCCGCGGGGAATTTAAATATCCCCCGCGGCATTTAAATACTTCAAAGTAGGAATAAGATCCTCCAGAAAAGGGCGCTTTTTCCGGAGGATCGGGGCCAGTGTAGACGCTCTTTTCCGGCTTTTCTAAAAGCCGGAAAAAAGCAGTGGACATTTTTATTTAAATGCCGCGGGGGATATTTAAATCCCCCGCGGATTTCCCTATTACGATCGCTGAAATGAACATGCCCCTTCCGGAAAAGGGGCCAGTGTAGATGTAGCCCTGAGGTCTGTATCAGCTGACATCCATTTGTGGGGTTTGGGTTTCAGGGCTATACAGTTGCAGTGTAGACATCTGATCTCTGGTAGGAGCCTGGCTCTGAGCCCCTTTCATCTCGTGGGGTCCCAGACCCTTAGCTCCAGCCCAAGCCCGAATATCTACTCTGCAGTCTACTTTCATAACTCCAAAGCCTGAGCCCTGTGAGCCCCAGTCAACTGATGTGGGCAAGATGTGGGTGTTTTATTTGCAGAGTACCAAACAGCTTTGCCTCATTCCTTGTCTGAGGACCTGGCCCTGCCTTCCCCTTCTCTGAGGCTCTGCCCCCTGCTCACTCCCGTCTACTCTCCCTCCCTCTCTCCCACCCTCACTCACTTTCACCAGGACAGGACAGGAGGTTGGGGTGCAAAAAGGGCGTGTGCATACTCTGGGGTGAGGCAAGAAATGAAGATTTTGAGCTGGACTGCAGTGTGGTGCTGAGAGGTTCAGAGTGTGGGAGCGTGCTCTGTGCAGGAGGGGCCGCAGGCTCTGGTAGGGAGAGGGTTCAGAGAGAAGGCTCAGGTCGGTGTTCATCTCAGGTGGCTCCTGGAATTGGTGTCATCTCTCTCAGGCTCCTAGGAGGAAGTGTGGCCAGGTGGCTCATACACTGCCCCTGCCTGCAGGTGCTGCCGTCTCAGCTTCTATTTGCCATGGTTCCCAACCAGTGGGAGCTACAGAGCTGATGCACGGGATGGAGGGAGCCCCCTATGTCTTCCCTCTGCCTAGGAGCCAGAGGGAGATGCCGGCACTTCTCAGGAGCTATGAGGAGTTGGGCAGGCATGCTACCTGCCTTGCTGCAGGTGGCCAACCATACTTTAAATGGCCTGGTCAGTGGTGCCACGAGGGTCCCTTTTCAAGCTGGTGTTCCAGTCGAAAACCGGATACCCCGGCAACCCTCTGTTTGATTGCAGTGTAGGCATACTCTTTGAGGACAGATTTTCAAAGCTAGATGGGCATCTATTGGTTCAGATCAGCACTTTGGAAAATCCCACTAGACCCTAAGCAAGTTAGACACCAAACTTGCATAAATGTCAAGAGGACTTGAGCACTCTTGAAAATTTTCCCTATGCTAAGTCAGAAGCCCCACTCGGGCTCAACAGGGCTCACACTTGAAAATCACTTAGGAGCTTTTGAACATGCCATCCTCAGTATCTGGCAGGAGACTAGTTTAAAAGTCAACAGTTTTTGTTACAATTTCCACCCATAGGAGGTGGAAGGTGCAAGCCAGTGCTGCAAGGAAGGATCTATGTAACCTTGAACTGCACTGTGAAACATATTCTGTTGCAACTGTCAGAAAGCAGCAGTAATACCTCCTTCATCCTGCGAATTCCTCCTGAAGCTGATGAGTAAATGAAGGACTGAGGCCACAGAGGCTACATCTAGACTGCAAGCCTTTTTCAAAAGATACTTTTGAAAAAGCCTCTTTCAAAAAAGAGTGTCTAGACTACACCCAGTACTTTTGAAAAAGCAAGCTTCTTTTTCAAAAGAGAGCACCCATGCAGTCTGGATGCTCTCTTTCAAAAAAGCACAGTTTGCATTACATAGCATCTTTTTTTCAAAGGAGCACTTTAAAAAAAAAGGCATTATGCCTCGTGAAACAAGGTTTTCCGTGATCTAAAAAACTGCTGCATTCTTTCAATTTACTTTCGCAAGAACATGGCAGCAGTCTAGACTCAGGATACGTTTTTTTCAAAAAAAGGCCATTTTTTCTGAAAAAAACTCTGTAGTCTGGACACACCCTGATTGATCACACGGTCACAAACTTAACTCCTTTCATGTGAGAAAGACCTGCTGTATGCTTCCTTCCACTGTTCAGGTTTGCCCTGAAAAGGGGCTATTGTATAAGAGTTATAGTTTTGTAAGTACTAGCCTAGTGGAATAAAAACACAGGTAGTTTTACAAGCAATAATGAAACAGGAGCATTATTACATTTTTAATTTTAAACCCATGTATGCAGGACTGGCCTTACCATGAGGCAAACTGAGGTGGCCGCTTCAGGTGCCAGATTGTGGGGGGGCGGGGGGCTCCACTAGGACACAGAGTGTAGAAAATTGTGTCTGCTGCTGGTGCATATGTATTCCATCTGCAGTACCATGAGAGGAGTAGAAGAGGAACAAGGCAGAATTGAGACCTTTCAAAGTTTTGGCCAAAGCGAGGAGACATGGGGGTGTCATTTGAGCTCCCCGCCTCAGGTGCCAAAATGTTGTGGGCCAGCCCTGCATGTATGTTTACAGTTAGTAAAGATGTGGCAAAGGGAGATATATGATTGGAGGAACTCAGGGTATGTCTACACTACCACCCTAGTTCGAACTAGGGTGGTTAATGTAGTCAATCAAAGTTGCAAATGAAGCCCGGGATATTTAAATCCCGGGCTTCATTTGCATCTTGCTGGGCGCCGCCATTTTTAAATCCCTGGTAGTTCGGACTCTGTGCCCGCGGCTACACGCGGCACGGAGTAGGTAGTTCGAATTAGGCTTTCGAACGAGGTGTAATGGTAGTTCGAATTAGAAAGCCTAATTCAAACTACCTACTCCGTGCCGTGTGTAGCCGCGGGCACGGAGTCCGAACTACTGGGGATTTAAAAATGGCGGCGCCCAGCAAGATGCAAATGAAGCCCGGGATATTTAAATCCCGGGCTTCATTTGCAACTTCGATTGACTACATTAACCACCCTAGTTCGAACTAGGGTGGTAGTGCAGACATACCCTCAGTGTGCTTTTTGCCCTCGTGGTACACTGGATGAGATGAACATTGTAAAAAACCAGAATGGTGATCAGAAGTTTTTCTACTGAAGGAGTGAGGCTCTCCCCTTGTGTTCAAGAAAAATACATGTTAGTTTGAAAAAAAAATGAAACGGAAATAATTCCAGTATAAGATGCATGCAAGATATGATGGTAACTGTGGTACCAAAAAGGGAAGATTTTAATGAAAGGCAGAAAGGAGCCAGGTTGCCCAGCCTCCAGCATTAATTCGTGAGCACTCCAGAACAAAGACTGATTTTTAATTAAAGACTGTGTCATGTGATGTCATGTCCAGGAATATGTCCTACCAAAACTGACAACCCTAAAAGGGTCCCAAGCAGATTCCGCTTCTAGAGGGCGTAAAATATCCTTTTGCAATCACTGCCTTTGCCTATGTAAATCAGGTGTGTTACTCTGTAACTTACACATGAAAGCCCCAGGGATGTGCCCACAAATGGTTGCTTGTGCAGAATCAGAGGGCATGTTTTTGCAAACTTGGCCCTCTATGTCTTCTTTACAAAGCTACTTTGCTGCAGTGTGCCAGGGAGCATAGCTCATCCTCTCCTCTTGCAAAAGGCTGAGCAGGCTTAGTTGCTACATTGTCGCCAGTGGTGGTGGGCACACCCCGGCTTTGCCCCGCCCTGCTTCTAAGCTGAGCTTCTTCAAATTCTGGGTACACAGGGTGCTTTACGTGTGTGCCTGGCTGGGAGTGCCATGGAAGCGGAGGCAGCAGGGATGGCTGAGAAGACTGCTCTGCGCACCCCCAAGTGCTCCCGCTGCCGGAACCATGGCTTTGTGGTGCCGGTGAAGGGCCACACAGGCCACTGTCGCTGGAAGCTCTGCCCCTGCGACAAGTGTGCACTCATTACAGAGCGCCAGAAGATCATGGCAGCTCAGAAGGCAATGCAGGGGCAGGACCCAGATGCCCCACCCAGGGAGAAGTCACCACCTGTGCCCTGCACCCCGGTTCATGGTAAAGGTCGGAAGGTTCCTGCAGCTGGCCCCAGCGCCTCGGACCACAGCAGCCACGGGGGCAGGTGTGAAGGAGCCAAAACCACCCCGGCAGCCAGCAGCAGCAGCAGAACCAGGACCCGCAGGCCAGTACCCGCTTCCAGCTCCCCGCCCTTTGGGGACTTTGGTAGGGACCAGCTCAGCATTGGGGTGCCTGGCCTATAGGCCTTCACTCAAGATGATTCACTTCTATCTCTGTGTCTCTCTGTCCGTCTGTGTTCATCATTCAGTGTCTGTCCATCTATTAGTGGGTATTGTTTGGTTGATGTCTGTTCATTCATCTTCCAGGCCGATCTAGTGCCTCAGAAACTGCTAGGTCCCAGGTAAACTGTTTCCCAGAATTGCTGGAGTTGCTCTCACTCCACTTTCCCATCCTGTTTCCAGGTGTGTGTGTGTGGAATGCAATGCTGCATTTATTTTTGGTTTTGCAAAGTTTCCAAGTTGTGCCTATGGACTTTGTAGCTACAGGAACTGCCTCAGCACCTTCTCAGCTTGTTTCCTTGTTGCAAAGATGGATTCATGCAACTAGTCCTTGTTTAACAGGGAAATGAATCAGTGACAGGAACAGAATCTTGATATTTCAATACAATACCTTGAGCTCTTTCTTCTGAGCTGTGCTATTATTTTTAAATTTACAGACATGCCCTCATGAAAAAACAAAGGAAAAAACCCCACAGAACAACAGAAAATGCAGATTAATAGGGGGATTTCTGCTGGAGTGGTCTAGAGAAGGCATTTTATAGTGGCAACATAAAAAAAAGAGGACACCTCCTGGATTGGAATTTGATGTTTCACAGACTAGATTTGTCGAGAACCAGTTGGTGTAAAATTTTGTGTATTTAAGAATGGAAAATAGAATGTAGAAATGGAAAATGCATATGGTTATTTAGGCCATTACTTCTGATAGTGTTCTCTACGGTAGAGTCTTGGGTGTGCCTTGTCTAATCCATTTTTATTATTTATAGACTCCCACTGACCACAGTAACCATTATATTTGGCCTCAGGAGAACCAGCACTCTAGCTCAGTGTTTCTCAACCAGTGGTATAAGTACTCTTACGGATACTCGAGAGAAGTCTAGGGGTTCGTCAACACAACTGAAATTTGGAGAAAATTCTTGTTTTAAGTTTTACAGCGCTTTATTATTTTTGTACTTTTTACACCCAAAAATTTCATCGCCCACCCGGCTACGATTAAGTTGTTTAAACAAATGTGTTGCAATGGTAGAAAAAAAAATGTGTGTGTCTGAAAACAGTAGGTACTGGGGGTACTTATAATTTTTTTTTAAGGGGGTACTTTATAAAAACAAAAGGTTGAGAAATACTGCTCTAGAACATACAGGCCAGATGATCTGAGAGATGGAGAGGAAGGAGTCACTTTAGATAGCTCCAGCACAGCCTTGTCTACCAACAATTATTTAATTTTTATGCTTATGGGTCTGACAGCGGAAGTGTTTTTAGAAGTGATTTGAATGGATGAGACCTTGATACAGATATAGTCTAGTCATACATGGTGGGAACTACACTACTTTGGAAGATCACTTTGTAAACATGATTCTTTTTTAATAGCAAAATACAGTGGTTCTTTGAAAATGAACTGTAAAAATGAGAGACCAGGTAGTTGAGGTCAATATCTTTTATTGGACTAACTTCTGTTGATGGAGCTTTGTGTATCACAGCTCTGCAGGTGACTGGAGGAAGAACTCTGTGAAGCTCAAAACTTGTTCCTTCTACCAACAGAAGTTGTTCAATAAAAGATACTTCCTCACCTGCCTTGTCTCTCTTATTTTGGGACCAACACAACAAAAATACTGCAAACAACTCTAGAAATGCCAGCTGTCACAGGGTACAGAGCTTTTTATGTCCTCTCAGTGATTTCAGTATTAAATTTCACTTCATCTGTAAGTCAAGCTGCTACCACAGGAAACTAGAAATCAAGCCGTTTGTCATACTTTTGATTGCAACAGAAGCATTAGAGATCCTGCAATCAGAAGTTTTTTGTGCATCCTGAACCAAGTTGTCAGCATAAATTTGAATCATATTTGCTCTCCCAAAATTGTATTAACCCATCTTTACAGCACCCTCCTTTCCTCCTCAATCCTAATGTTTCAATTAAAAAATAATTGAATAAGAACTGAATATAAACCCAAAGGGCCAGATTCTGCCTTAATTTACACAACTGAGGACAAAATATGGAACCATGACTCTTTCTATTAACCTTCAAGCTGGTTGCAATGATATTTTTGCTTGTTTGTTTTTATTTTTCCTTACCCACTGTTTCCTAGCCCATCCTGCTTTGCCTCAAGAATGTGTTGTCAGCCCAGAATACCTGGAGAGAGAACCTCCAAAATTGTATCCTGGGTATTCTGGTATGTACCCATACCACGCATTTCCCATGGGCTTTGCCATCAATCAGCCAAGCTGCAGAGGAACACCAGTGTCCCCAGGGATGCCCCTTCAGAGAGGTTTCAGGCATGTTCCTAGCAGCCACGGACCAGGGAGTGCCACTCCTCTGTCAGTAAGTAGTTGGCTTTGTTTTTTAATTGTGGCTGCATACATTGCTCTTTGTACTGTGGGATGCAATCTTGCTATCAGGGTAGCCATGAAAAGTTAGCATGGATAGGAATGACTTCAATGGCATCGTGATACGTAAGATGATCAAAACATGAACGAATAATAAGTTTGAAGGTCTGACCTGAACCTAGAAAAATCAAAAGGCTTCGGAGTTGTGGGCCTGATACCGCAAGCCCTCTCTGCTCACAGCTCTTGTTGTCTTTGGTGACAGTTCTGTGTGCAGAGGCCTTGAAGAATAGGGATTCTCAGGGAAAGTTAACCACTAAACTATGGCCAGATTGTGTCAGCATAGGTATCATAAACTGTCTCCTGAAGTCCCCAGTGAAATCCCCTTAGTATAGCAGAGCTTCCCATTACCCTCCCCCCATCCCCAGACCTTCCATGACGGCTGGCTGCACCATGGAAGTTCTGGCTCAGGAAAGAACCAGACTGGGGCACAGAATGGGGAGGGGGCAAATCCAATGTGGGAGAAGGACATACTACAATGATACCCATCTGTTGCAAGACCCATGAGGCTATGACAGGATCAGGCACAATTCCGGGGAGCTCAATGGCTGCCTTAGCCTGTGTCTTAGCCTCTAGCAACATCAGAATAGGAACAGCAAGAATAATTTCTCTTCTGTCCCATCAACAGACAGGGCTTGAACATTCCTTACTATCGCCACATGTATGGTATCTTGGGTAATGATGTCAAAACCCTGCAATTCAAGCTACTACAGAGATGTCTTTTTGGTTGTTTTTTTGTTTGAAAAAAACAATTTCACCATTAACAGAAATGGGTTGGGAAGTTTTTAAAAAAATTGGTTAAAGCAATGTTTTGTTTGGATTTAAATAAACTGTCCCTCTGCATGTTCTCAAGTCAGTTGTATAGCAGTATGCTAGTGCATGGAAATCAGAAAGTGGCACTGACAGGAAACATGAAAAGTGAAGCAACCTAATCTATTTAGGTTGTTCAAAATGAGAGAATTGCTAAATCAGCAGCAGAAATGGTGAAAAGTACATGGATTTCCCACCTATCTAAAATAGTCTATGTTTTGTTAATCACAAAGGTAAGAATAATAGTAATAATATATTTAAACCAGTTTCAGAGGAGTAGCTGTTTTAGTCTGTTTCAGCAAAAACTCCCAGGTGTATCTGGCCGCAATTTAAAGAATTTATTGAGGCATTAAGGCATAAGCTTTTGTGAGATATAACTCACTTGCTCAGATGCTGAAGAAAAAAGAAAAAAAAGTACAGTAACACAGAAATGGGGATGTGACATCAGTGCATACTAAATCAGAGTGGATGTGACTCATCTCCAACAGGGGTGAGAAGGTTCTTATATGGTGCTTTTCATTAGTAGAGCTTTGAGGGTATGTCTACACTAGCCACCCTAGTTCGAACGAGAGTGGCTAATGTAGTCATTCAAACTTGCAAATGAAGCCCGGGATATTTTAATCCCGAGCTTCATTTGCAAGTTCGAATGACTACATTAGACACCCTAGTTCGAACCAGGGTGGCTAGTGTAGACATACCCTAAATGCTTTACAAAAGAGATAACTATTATTGTCAATAGCTTTCCACAAAGACCAGCATATGATAAAAAACCTGTACTTCAGTATTTCTCTGTATTATTATTATTATTATACCTTTTTTGAGCGGAAGGAGCTCTCCTTGGCTCTCCTTCATTTTTATTTTATTCCACCACCAAATTCTTCAAAGAGTACTTATGATGCAGCAGAAGGAAATGTGATGCTAAATAGTGAGCCCTCCTGCTCTTCCCTCTGCTGGTCTGGAAGATGGGTATAGAGGTCAGGTTAAAAAAAAAACCTGCAGAAAACTTCAAATGGAAATGGAAGGAAGTTAGTTTTTGATGCTGGTCTGTGTCAGCTGACTCAAAATTGAGTGACTGCGCCACATAATGGCAGAGAAAATTCAATGTTGATACATGCAAAGTAATGCACATGGCAAAATATAATCCCAAACATACATACAAAAGAATGGGTTCTAAATTAGCTGAACCCATCAATAAAGAGATCTTGGAGTCATTGATTATAGTTGTCTAAAAATATCTGCTCCTTATCTAGTGACAATCAAAAAAACCTAACAGAATATTGGAACCCATTAGGCAAGGGATAGATAATAAGACAGAAAATATTACATTGCCTCTATATAAATCTATGGTCTGAGCTGTCCCATCCATAGGATGGTTTCGGGGCTGCATCCCAGACCCTGTGCTTTGGAGGTACCCTGTGGTGGCCGTCTCAACTCTCCTATGAACGGGAGGGACCCAAAGGATTATCCGAGGGCCTTGCACAGGGCAGCAGCAGGGGTCGCTCGGCTAGGCCCTCGCACTTACCACGGCAGTGGGAGCTGGAACAACCCAGCAGCGTACTCCATCCTGCCCTGCCATCTACTCTACTATTGAGTACTGTGTGCAGATTTGATCACCCCATCTCAAAAAAAATATATTGGTTTGGAAAAGGTTCAGAGAAAGGCAACAGAAATGATCAGTGACACTGAACACATTCCATATGAAGGGCAATTCAAAATACTTGGATTTTTCAGTTTGGAAAAGAGTCGGCTACGTCTACACTGCACGTTTATTTTGGAAGAAGCTATTCCAGAATAGTTATTCTGAAATAGCTTATTTCAAAATAGCACAGCTATACTGCAGGGAAGCCTCAAAACTAGTCTGAGGCAGGCTTCCCTAATGTAGATGCGCTATTTCAATTTAGAGCCCCAGGAGGCACTGGGGAGGAATAAATTAGAATGGCCCTGGGAACGGGTGACAGGATGAATCACTCTGATTGCCTGTTTGTGTTCATTTCCTCCGAAGCACCTGGCATTGTCTACTGTCAGAAGATAAGATACTGGGCTAGATGGACGTTTGGTCTGACCCAGTATGGCCATTCAGATATTCTTACATGAACCAGATGTATCTGCTTCCTGCTGTAACCCATTAGATCCCTCCCAGAGCGGAGACAGAGCCCAAGAGTTCTGATAGGGCCTTTCCCTTTTCACAGAGTTAGTAAAAAAGTAAGAACATATATTAAAATTCTAAACCTAAATAGTGTCCCCCAAGCAACTTGCCACAAGATGTCAGAACATGTTATTAGAGCTGAGTGAGTCTAATATTTGTCTCACTTTCATATAGGAATTAGATACAGGGCTGCTGTCAGCTAACTGCTAAACTATCTGTCATAAAACTAAAGTTTCCAGGTACCTAAGTAGCCTCTCTAGAATCATGATTAAAGTCGTCCCCCCCAAAATCTGAAGTGGTGACCCTGGTAGTCGCTCTGTGCCAACGGGAGAGAGGTCTCCCCTTGGCATAATTAAACCACTGCCAATGCGCAGCGGTAGCGCTGGCATTCAGAGACAATCTCCCAGCAAACATAGCACTAGTCACACTACCATTTATGCTGGCATAATTTATGTTGCTCGGTGTGGGGTGGGTGGCAACAACAAATTTTGATGACATACGTGGTATTGTAGACATAGCCTAGGAACCGGGGGATACTGGTGTTATGTCTCCTTACTGTAAGTTTACTAACTCTCCATTGTCCTGTTACTGCAGAGTTAATGGCCTACTTTTAAATCTTCCCTTGCAAAAGGTGTTAACTATGCTTAACAATCAGTTCCATCTTGTGTTTAGTTGTAACACTCTGATTACCTTTCCCAGACCTGAAGAAGAGCTCTGTAGCTCCAAAGTTTGTCCTTAGAGGGCTTGTCTACACTTAAAATGCTGCAACAGCACAGCTGCACTGCTATAGCGTTTTCAGGGTAGACACTGCCTATGACAGTGCTCACAACCTTTTTTTTTTTTTTTTAAGCCAGGGACCTTGGACTTTTATAGAAACACTTGCAGATCCTTAACCAGAGGCAATGCATAGAAAGGCACCTCCAGATTTCTGCCTTCCATTTGTCCCTGCACACAGGTGGGAGGTGTAATAGGCCAGAGAGGGCTCTGCCTTTTCTGGCTACAGCTGCTGCCCTGACCTGCATGGTGGGGTAGCCCTGGCACTGGATTCAGATTGCTGATTGGCCCACTTGGCCAAGCCCAGGGCTCCTCTGGTGGTGGGAGGGAAGGGGCAGCTTTTGGTTCTGGCAGGCCAGGGACTTCTCTGGCTGTGTGTGTAAGGGGCACTCAAGGCACCAACTGCAGGGGACAGGACCTTGTGCAGAAGGGGTGGGGCCACTAGGCTACTCTTCCCCCAAAGGGGTCCATCCATGGCCATGTTCCCTGAAGTGCTTATATAGCAGGGCAGTGAAGTGGTATATTTCCTTTAGCTGCTGCTTGTTCCCGGAGCTAGTGGTTGTGAGGCAAACCCTTCTGATGACAGGGGAAATATCTGTCTTCTACAAAGACATATACTTTTTGGTTGTGCGCTACCGCAACACTGACAAGCTGGGTGTGCACGGAGAGGAATCGGGGGTGGCAGTGGCAATCTCTCCTCAAGTCTGAGCCCTGCAGCCCCAGGCTGAAGCCGAAGGCCAGGAGATGCAGTGGCTTCAGCTTGAGGCAGCTGAAACCCAGTCGTTGGTGGCACCCCTCAAAACTGCTTTTTAAGAATCAGTGGTCTACACCAAAAGGAAGGGTAGGTAATCTATCAGTGTAGCTAATCCATCTCCCTGAGAGGTGGTAGCTAGGTTGACAAAAGAATTTTTCCATTAACTTTAACCTGTTTAGCCATGGATGTAGGTCATCTTAATTAAACCTATAGTGGGGGGGATTTTTCACACCCCTGACCACAGAGTGAAACTGACAATTTTTTAGTGTAGGCCAGGCCTCAGTCTCTTCAGTCAACAGACAGTGGTCCAATCAAAAATATTAGATCCAACTCATCTCTCTTGAATACAATTAGGCACGCATATAAAATATCTACTTCCCGGTGTTATTGTGCTAGGCTCCAGCTATTGCTAACAGATGCTTTTTTGAGGACTTAAAACAACTGAGCCGCACATTAAAAGTGTCTGCTGCATGTGCACAGTAGTGACTGACTTTTCATAAAGTTTCATACAACTCATTTGGCATTAAAGAGCCATAATACAAAACCAGGAAATAAGTCACCAACAGCTGCTGTTTTTAAATTAAGGATCCATAATATCATCTGAGTCACACAAAGCCTCATGAAAAAGCTGTTCATCACTGCTCGTGAGAAGGAGCCATTTTTAATCCACTTGCAGGACTTTATGTGAATTGCAAATACTTATGGATCTGGCTGCACTGGCGGATCCAAGGTTAATAATGTCTGGAAATATGGATTCCAATATATTTTAATTCAGTGCGTCTCATTAACAAACAAGTTCTTCCTGTGTTTGTTGTGTTCTGCTGCAGCTGTGTTTAGGCCAAATCATTAAGTCTTTATTTCAGACACTGACATTCAATTGCTAGATTGGCAGGCTGAACTCTCATTGACTTCTATGAAGTTTTGCCTGAGTACAAATTTTGTGATTTCCCCCGTAGCAGGATTTTGCCAATCAAAAATCTAACATGCTACAACCAGTAAAGTAAATTATGGCCTTTCATTTTAATACAGCCTATGTAATGCCACTGATTTTCACTTCACTTGATTTGGAAGTGAGGGTGGTGGTTTGATAAGGATGCTGAGATAGCATCTGGACTGAAGATGCTTTGCTCTATGTGTTTGTGCAGATGCAAGATGCTGGTGGAGATTTCCAAGGTTACTACCATCCTCCACTTCCTCAGTTTATACCCTCTGGCTTCCTGCCAGGGATTCACTACATTCCGCCACCCCTGCCACTTCTGACTGAAACACCCAAGGAAGCCTCTGGTAAGTAAGTGCAAGGTGAGCAATCTCATGTAAGAAGTTTATGAGATTTCAGGAGCTGTTTTATATGGTATAGTATATGATGTGTGCTGTGCATTGGCATGTAAAATACAACAAAAGCTTTCAACAATATTATTTTCACTTTGGTTGGTAAATTCTCTCTTGCTGACCATATCATGGCTCACTGAAATCATCAGAATGTATGTGCCTGGAAGGACAGCAGATTGACTCTGATCTGTAATAAAACTTCTCACATGGCCCTAATTTTCATCCCAAATTGCATAGATTCCACATAAATATAATGGCCTCTCATTTTTGTAGTTGAAAATTATGTACATCAGTAATAAAGAATCATTTCTTCAGAAACAGGTCAGAGAAAGCTGTGAACACCAAAGGGCTATTGTCCCACAGCAATATAAAATTTTCTGCCTGAATAATTTTTAGCCTCCTCAGGTTGGGTCTGTCACATGCTGCATGTCTCACATTTGAGGCATGGCAGATATGTCTAATAACTTTTTTGTTTCTGACAAACTTTCCATTCAACTACTGCCATGTGCGGCCACAAGGGGGCAGAACTGCTCAAAGAATCAACCACCAGTACCAACAGAATGCAATGCCTGGGTTATGCCAACCTCTTGTTCAGAATATCTGTGTGTACTTCTATATTTCTATACTTGCCTTATTAGGGAAAAATAAGAATCTGACTAAAGGCCATTTTCCTTTGACAGACATTTACACTTGATAGCCCTCTCTGACACCTACTAGGGTATGTCTATACTACACCCGTTTTTCGATAAAGGGATGTAAATTAGACATATCAAAAGTGCAAATGAAGCCGGGATTTAAATATCCTGCACTTCATTTGCATAATGGTTGCCGCTGCTTTTTTTCAAAACGGGGCTTTTTGGAAAAAAAAACCAGCAGTTTAGACCGGGCATTTTCAACAGAAAGATCCTGTACTCATTTTTTGAGTACAGGATCTTTCGAAACGGGGCATTTCTGTTGAAACTGCATCTAAACTGCCGGGTTTTTTCAAAAAGCCCCATTTCGAAAAAAGGTGGCGGCTGCCATTATGCAAATAAAGCGCAGGATATTTAAATCCCGGCTTCATTTGCACTTTCGAGATGTCAAATTTTTTTGATAAAGGGATGTAGTCTAGACATATCCGCCAAGCGATAAAAGTCCAGTCTGTCTGGAGTAGGAGTGGGGAGTAAACAGAAGAGTGCTGCTTCTTCATTTAATCAAATAATTCTGATTGTGGCAAGTTATAGTATGTGGGATAGCTGACAATACTGTAATTATCACATTTATTTCATTTGAGACAGAGATGGGCCCAGGGAGCAAGGTTTGGATTCAAATTTTCCTGGGTTAGGTGACTGTAAGGTAGAGTATACTTCTGAGGGAGGCTATGCCTCTACATGAAGCAGAAAGGGGGGAACTGCTAGCAGTTCTGAATGGTCCCTGGTCTTTAAGCAGGGCAGGATAGCAAACAGTCAAGGCTCTGGCCTGCAATCAGGCAGAACTGAAGCTCCAGGCCAGTTTGTGAGGCTCAGGAAGGGGGGACTGAGGAGCAGAGGCCTCTTGGCCTAAGAACAAGGAGTATAGCCACCCTGGGGATCAAATAGCAGGCGAGATGTGGCCACAAGCAACTCTAAAAGTCCCTACCCAGGGCTTAACAGTGGCAGAGTGGTTTGCCACTGGCTCAATGGAGATCTGCCTGTAACATGCTGACCTTGTATCCAGCCTGCTCCCAACCAGACCAGTCCCTGGTTTCCCTGGGCTACTTCATACTCTCCCCCTCAGAGCATCCAGGGTTCTTAGTCAGTCTACCTGGGATATGCCACTAAGGATAATGGCGCAGCTTCTCAGCGTCAAGAGTAGCAGAGCTCTCTAGAAGCTCATGCAGGCCCTGAAGGCAGCCACCTTTCTCCTCAGTGTCCTGCTCCAGAAGCAGAGAGAACACATCTGTCTCTCTGAGCAGCTCTCCCTCAACTGACCATCTGAGCAGGCCTTTTATACTTCCTCTTTCTGTCCCAACCCCCTGCCTGCAGCATTCAGGGCGTGGTCCACCTCTGAGGAAAGCCACACCTCTTTGCTACTGTGGTATTTGTTGGATTAGACATTCTGGTGCAGGCTATTTTGGGCATGTCTACACTAGGAAATTATTTTGAAATAACTCATAAAATAAAAGCGGGGAGGAGTCCTGTGGCACCTTATAGACTAACTGAAGTGTAGGAGCATAAGCTTTGGTGGGCAAAGACCCACTTCCTCAGATGCAGATTCAGACTAACACGGCTACCCCTCTGATCATAAAATAACTATTTTGAAATAAGCTTATCCCCCAAGAAAAGCAGACATTATTATTTTGAAATAGCCCCTTATTTTGAAATAATGGGCTTGATAGTGTGGATGCTCTGCTTGTTATTTCAAAACAAGGGGAGTTATTTTGAAATAAATCCCTGAGGGTATGTCTACACTACCACCCTAGTTCGAACTAGGGTGGTAAGGTAGGCAACCGGAGTTGCAAATGAAGCCCGGGATTTGAATTTCCCGGGCTTCATTTTTATGTTCCCAGGCGCCGCCATTTTTAAATGTCCGCTAGTTCGGACTCTGTGCCCGCGGCTACATGCAGCACGAACTAGGTAGTTCCATGAGGAGTACAGGTAGTTCGGAATAGGAAGCCTAATCCGAACTACCTAGTTCGTGCTGCATGTAGCCGTGGGCATGGAGTCCGAACTAGCAGACATTTAAAAATGGCGGCGCCCAGCAACATACAAATGAAGCCCGGGAAATTCAAATCCCGGACTTCATTTGCAACTCCGGTTGCCTACATTACCACCCTAGTTTGAACTAGGGTAGTAGTGTAGACATACCCTAAGATAGACCAGGGCTTTCAGGAGTAGTCTAAGCTGTAAAGGTCAGCTCTTGAATCAAACTTTCCTAGAGTTCCAGGATACTAAGGCTGGACTGGGAGTTCTAATGAAGAATCAGAGTTCAGTTTCTACTGCTGGTCCATTGCTAGTTAGAAGCCAGCCTAAATGGTTAGAAATTCTGCATTCAGAATTCAGCCTGGAGCTCACATTGAACTCAATGGGACACACCGACATTTACCTGATGGCAGAATTTGGTTCTAAGTGCAGGACCTACCAGTATCAATCTTACAGGGCCAGTGACCTGATTTACAACTTTTTGTATATATTTTTTTTCTTTCAGGGTCAGGGAGGCCTGGTCTACAATAGACCAGCAGGGTCGATTTAAGGTACGTAGCTCCAGCTATCCGCAGTGGAGTCAGCTTACCTTAAACTGAGCTGTGGCAGTGTCCACACAGCAGGAGACTGATGGGAGCACACACTTCTGTTGGCTTCCCTTACTCCTCGCCCTCATGTCTACATTAGACCCGCTAAATTGAATGCTAGACGATCAACCTCCAGAGGGTCCATCTTCTCCTTAGTGTAGACATGCCCACAGAGGGGGAAAACTGACTCAGCCATATTGTACTTCAGCTTCAGGGGGGAGTAGGAATATCAGCTGCGACTCAGTGAGCTATTATTTATCTAAGAGGTTACAAAATAGCATTTCAGCAGAAAGTACAGAAGTAATGAGAGGAGCTACAGTGAAACTAGTTGCATTGGAATCCATTTTTCAAGATGCATTTTGTTCCCGTTTCATATCTAGTAAAAGACTAATAAATAGTGAGGAAACAAACCCACTGAAAATCAGTGCAAACAGACTCCTAGGGTATGTCTAGATGGCATCCCTCTACCAGCAGAGGGATGCAGATTAGGCAGGTCGACATTGCAAATGAGGCAGGGATTTAAATATCCCATACATAATTGGCATAAAATGGCCGCCGCATTTTGCCGACTCAGCACTTTGTCGGCAAAAAGCAGCAGTCTAGAGGGGGATCTGTCAAGAAAGAAAGCCCTTCTCGACAGATCCTTTATGCCTCCTGCAAGGAGGTTTACAGGATCTGTCAAAAAAGGTTTTCTTTCTCGACAGATCCCCCCCAGACTGCCGCTTTTTGCCAACAAAGTGCTGAGTTGGCAAAACGTAGTGGCCATTTTTATGCAAATCAAGCGTGGGATATTTAAATCCTGCCTCATTTGCAAGGTCAACCTGCCTAATCTGCATCCCTCTGCCGACAGAGGGATGCAGTCTAGACATACCCCTAGAAATCCCATCAAATTCAAACGTAACTTTGCTAGATCATTTGTCCAAAGAGATCTACTGGATTCAGGTCAAATTGGGGCAGTCATGGTGACAGGGCTCTTTGTGTAGTCTTTAGCAAAGTAATGAAGAGAAAAATCGATATAGAAAAGTATTGCAGGAAAAACTATGCCACCCACTGAGCCTTTGGAGTGATGGCAATTCTGAGACAAAAGGCAGCTACAAACAGCAGAAAAGGCTTCTCCTAAGCTAGTAACAGTTCCTGGAAAGAGTCTTGAATCAACCACAGGCCTTGCAGCTAAAATGACCAAGGTCTGTATTAATTCTCAGTCAGGTTTTATAATAGTGACTCATAATAGATAGGGATGTGTAGTGTCACTGCTTAAACGAGTAGCTGGTAAGCAGATGCTTATTGGTTAATACTACTGGCTACATGCAACCTACCCCCATGCCCAGGGCTCTGAAGTTATTGGGAGATGGCACGCAGTCAGGCTGGCTCAGTTCCGGCTCATACCAGGTCCCAGGAGCTACCTCTACTGCATATTTTGGGAGATACTTTAAGGCTGTGTCTACACTGGGCCACTTATTCCGGAAAATCAGCTGCTTTTCCGGAATAACTTGCCAGCTGTCTACACTGGCCTCTTGCTTTTCCGGAAAAGCAATGACGATCTACTGTAAAATTATCAGTGTTTTTCCGGAAAAACTATGCTGTTCCCGTTTGGGCAAAAGTCCTTTTCCGGAAAAACTGTTCCGGAAAAGGGCCAGTATAGACAGCACAGTAGTCTTTTCAGCAAAAAAGCCCCGATCGCGAAAATGACGATTGGGGCTTTTTTTCCGGAAAAGCGTGTCTACATTGGACACGGATGCTTTTCCAGAAAAAGTGCTTTTCCGGAAAAGCATCCTGCCAATGTAGACGCACTTTTTCCGGAAATACTTATAACGGAAAACTGTTCTGTTTTCAGCATTTCCGGAAAAGGGTGCCAGTGTAGACGTAGCCTAAATGTAGAGCTGCAGTGTGAGTGCCTCAAGCTGGGACTCAGCCAGCGTGCCTGCCTGCCAGCTCCTTTCAGTGCAGAGCCGCAGTGGTTAATTGTGTAACCGACAAAATTTTTGTCTACTACACAAGTCACGAATTACAGGCTTCCTAACATTGCTAGTAATATATACCAAGTTGTTATAAAATTTAATCATCACAGTAATACTTTTGACATAACAGATACTACGCTGTAACTCTTCCTAGCTTTCCCAGTTCAGCCACTCATGTTTGTGCTAAGCAGTATCAGCGGGCAGAAGCTATCAGCAGGTTTAATTGGGGGTTTTTTTGTTTAAAGAATCATGCTGTGTTGGCAAGAGAGCTGCTCAGCGGGGTTGGAGCAGCTACATTAGGGAGTTTATAGCTGTGCTGCTATAAGCTCTCCAGTGTAGTCGTAACCCAAGAAAGAATTGTAGGAGAAGGAGGAAGCTTTAAATACAAACTAGCAAGTAACATTATGAATTAAGTTCTGAGGTCTCCTGCTTATTTCCTCAGTTTTATGACCTGTTTATTCATTTAAGGCTTTTTGCACCTTCAGAATTGGAACAAGTATATTACAGTGGGCATGTGATAAGGCTCACTGTCGTTAAGGTTGTAAAATAGCGTGCATTACAATCCTAGTGTAATGTGACCTTAAATCCCAAAATATCTGCTGAGAGGGTAAATCATGCCCTTTTCCATTTTAAAACAGTCTTGCTGCACTTCTTTAGATATTGCAACAAAACTGATTCAGCTGATGTTTGAAATATGAAGCTGGACTGACATTGTTCTCATGGTCTCAAATTCCTTTTACTTGTTTGAGGGGAAAAAACTGGTTTGGATTAACTCAAGTCATTTTGTATTGAGCATTCACAGCTGAAAATGTTATGAATTCTATTGGAGGCAATGTAAATTTAAGTGCAATTTAAAAAAAAAAAAAAAAAGCTGCAGTGTTGTATTCTGCTTTTGTGTTTTAGCTACCGCTGCCAATAGACTGAATTCTGGGGTGATTTGTGAATGCAGCCAGCCATCTCCTCAGGAAGAAGCCAGTGGAGACCATGCCACATGTTCTAAACATTAAATGTATTTACGTGTATTAGGGAGGGAATAGATGCAGAACATGCAGCGGTCTCTCAGAGAGAATATAATTAGTTAATTTAGGGCTGGATTGACACTAGCCTTAATGCAACCATGCAGGGCAGAAGAGGGGAGTAAGCCTCCTACCCCACTTCACAGTTGCATTAGGGCTACTATAAAAAATAGTTTTGACTCCCTTCCATTGTACAGCCCCAGGGCTGACATTGCTCCACCGGCTCCACTGTACCATCTGGTAGAGCTTTTGCAGGGCTACTGTAAATTACTCCATTCTGCAGCAAGTGGAGATGAGTGGAGGAATTATGACTCCAGAGCCTAAGCTTCTTTTGGGGCTTGTCTGCACAATAGATTATATATGTCACTCAGGGGTGTGTATCACTACCCTGAGTAATGTAAATTACACCTATATAAGCACTGGTGTGGATAGTACTTTTCTCCTACCAGCCTAGCTACTGCCACTCAGAGGGGTGGTTTTATTATACTAATGGGAGAGTTCTCTGCAGACAGTAGACTGTCTCCACCAGATGTGCCACAGGTGTACTGCTATAGCACTTCTAGTGGAGACTAGACCACAGGTGACAGCCCATGGTTGAGGCTGAGCATAAAGACTGATCTAGCTCTTTTACGTTTAAGGCATAGTTACAAAGTATATTGTTTGTAGGCGTTTTTGCTATCAGGAATAGCCGGTTCTGAGTATTTTGGAACAGTTAAGCGATGAGATTCAAACATCTGAAAATTGGGTGACGGGGAAGGGGAAGGAAGGTTTTGGCAGCTCATACACATGTAACAGAGTTGGGGCTTGATACACTGGCATTCAGGTGGGCTTTAGAAGTAAGAAGGGTGATGGGTTTGGGGCACCTGCCAGTGAGGCAGTGGAAGAGGTTTTTGGGAGGGTCTGATCTTCTATACTGGCATTCAGTGCTCCCTCATCACCTTCCAGATGAACTCCGGGCCCTGCTGCCTTTACAGGGCACCTACACTTTAAATTGTGAGCACTAAGGCATGTAGTTACATCAGGTAGCTCAATCTCCAGGGTTTTGTGTGCCCAGGACACCCTACACATCGGTTCCAAGGAAACATGCTATGTTGGGAAAAGGGAAGCTGGTCACCAAATTTGATTTCTAAAGAGTGTGAGTGGACTGTCCAACATAATTGGGTTGGAGTTGTATGGTGAATTACATAAAATGTAGAGAGATTAGCTAGCCAGCTGGCTGTAAAGTAACTAGGGCAAAAATACCAATTTAATAATAATCAGCTAAACCAGAACATATCGTCATCTATGGACAATAACGTTTGAATAATAATGAATGGAGCATTCCTCTTTCTGTACTTTAAGATTAATGCGGTTTGTTAGTAGATCAGTTGTTAGTGTTGGAATTGTTTTTTCAAAATTAAACAAGATGCATTAAAATGTTTGTACTGAAGTTTTGAAGCTTGTTAATTTATAAATAGTTCTTGTAGGCAACTTTCAAAGATTCCACAGAACAATTCTATATTACAAATGCGCCTAGAATATTATTTAGGCTAGAAAATGAGGTTTTGCAGTTTCTGCATGCTATTACAGAAGTGAAAATTAAGAAAGCTAGATAAACATTCCTCTATGTCTTCTGTTTGGCATGCATGTTAATCTTTTGCTAAATGTGATTTTTAATAAAACTAAATTCAACTGCAAAAATCACTTCACTTTAAAAAATACAGTAAACTAATAGTTCAAATAGTTTTTAGCACTGATGGAAAGTGTTTGGGGAACTACAAATGGAGACAACATTATTTTGAACTGCCAAGAGGAAAAGGTAAACACTTAGGGTGAGTCTTACACAGCAACCTAAATTTGAAATAAGAAAATTGTGTATCTTATCTCAAATCTATTTCAAAATAGCTTATTTTGAAATTTGGCATATCTACACAGTGCCAAATTTCAAAACAATGCACTATTATGAGCCATCGCTTATCCCTCATGCATCGAGGTTTACCAGGATGGTGAAATAGCGCGCCCATTATTTTAAAAAATAGTTTGAAATAACATTATTTTAAAAAATATTTTGAAAATGGGGTAAATTCTTCTGGCGGCTTGTGTACATGTGGGGCAGCTATTTTGTGATACTTCCAGTATCCCAAAATAGCCATGCAGTATACACATACCCTTATTTTTCTATAGTGAACAACTTTCCATAATGCACAATATTGGACAGCTTTTCAAAGATCTGAATATTCAGCATCTCATGAAAAACAATAGGAACTGCTTGCTGCATGCTAAGGACTTCTGAAAATCTGCACTTTTAAGGATTTACATGGGAACTGAGCCCTTTTGAAAATCAGGCCATCTGATTAGAATTGCCAACAACATCCATAAAGCAAGGTCATCTGTTAGATTTTATATTAAAGGCCATATTAAGGAAGTGACAACATAGCAACAGACTGTGTAGAATAACATTTTAAGCATTATTATAACAAAAAATATTTGTATTTCACTCTTTAAAACACCAGAGGAAAGTGAACTTCAGCACACATTTTCAGTGACTGCAAAGCACTGTCACTGGAGATTTATAGAATGAATTCTTTACCCTACTCCCGTCCTGTGGTACTATAGAACAGGTATAATGAGGCTTTAATATGGGCAAATTCTTGCCTTAATTGCAGCACGGTGTTTTCATAAGGGCTCCATCCTGGCCTTTGAAACGCAAGCCTTGGAAGGGAAAAAAAACTTATTCCTTGATCTGTAACACATTGAGGTCAGCTTGAATCATTAATTTGATTTCAGTAGACTTTGAATCAGGCCCTAAGCTCAATTTTTTCTAATGGAAATTTAGCATATGGGAAGAAGTAGCTAAGTCAGCTGTGTAACCAGCCAGCTTTCTGTAGACCAACAGCAAATGAGTGCTGACCATGATTTGGGAAACTTTTCATTAGTGCTTCCTCTGGATAGTCCAAAAACAGAAGAATTTCTATTAATTTTCCCCCCACAGTATCTGCTGTAGCTCATTCCAGGTCACAGCTATGCAGGCTGGACTGCTTAGAATGGTTCCTCGCCAAACTCACAATGACCTCATCCCCAGAGAGGAGGCTGGGGAAGAAAGTCCATAGAAATGGTCACAGTTGGAAAGAGTCAAGTGTATTGTAGATATGTTTTTTCCAATAAAATGGGGTAAATTCTTCTGGAAGTTAGCAGAGTGCTATTTCCATTGAAATCAAAGTTTTCCGTTAAAAGCATTTGCGGAAAAGAGCGTCTAGATTGGCACGGATGCTTTTCCGCAAAAGCACTTTTTGCAGAAAAGCGTCCGTGCCAATCTAGACGAAAGCCCCAATCGCCATTTTCGCCATCGGGGCTTTTTTGCGCAAAAAAGTTTTTAGCTGTCTACACTGGCCCTCTTGCGCAAAAACATTTCCGGAAAAGGGCTTTTGCCTGGACAGGAATGTCAAAGCATTTGCACAAGAAGCACTGATTTTGGACAGTAGAACGACAGTGCTTTTGCGCAAAATCAAGCGGCCAGTGTAGACAGCTGGCAAGTTTTTCTGCAAAAGCAGGAGCTTTTGCGGAAAAACTTGCCAGTCTAGACGCAGCCAGGGGGTGACTGCAATATGACATACCCAAACTATAAAACTATAGTTTTAATTTAACTAGTTCGGGTACCAGAGTAACATAGCAGAGTTTTGAAGGAGGATAGGGAGGTAGTTTTACAGATATGTATGGGGCTTGAAGGGCACCATGGGAGAAAACACTAAGGTTCTTGTTTTGAAAATTTACCAAATAGGGGAATCATGCCATCTTTTAATCTTAGATACCCCAATGGAACTAAATATGCTTGGATAGTCTAACTCTGGACTTATTCCAGTTACACTTATTGCCAGACCAGGGGAGGTCAATGCCAGAGTGGACCCTGCCATTAGCAGCAGCAGACGGGCTAGCATTAACCTAGCAGGGACTGGGAAGGGTGAGGGTTGCTTGGGGAAGAGACCGGAGGGGAGGGGGACTGCAGAACCCCACAGATGGGGGCCAAGAGTGTAGCCCTGCAGAAGTGCACCAAGTCCTGCTGCTATTGGGCTGTGCTCTCAGTTCCCCCCGCCAACCACGGGCTATGCTTCTTTCCAAGAGTCCTCTCCCCCCCAACTCCACTCCTCCCTTTTCCTCCCTGAGCTTGAATGCTGCAGATGAGTTCTTTGTAGTGCTTTGGAAACTCTCAGGGTATGTCTACACTACCCCGCTAGTTCGAACTAGCGGGGTAATGTATGCATACCGCACTTGCTAATGAAGCCCGGGATTTGAATTTCCCGGGCTGCATTAGCATAAAGCCGGCTCCGCCATTTTTAAAAGCCGGCTTGTTCGAACCCCGTGCCGCGTGTAGCCTCGTGGAACGAGGATAACGGCACTAACACCTCCTTATCCCTACTGGAAATACCTCGTCTAATGCATCCCAAGACCGTATTAGCCTTTTTCACGGCCATGTCACAATGGTGGCTCATAGCCATCCTGTGATCAACCAGGACTCCGGGGTCCTTCTCCTCTTCCGTTACTTCCAACTGATGTGTCCCCAGCTTATAACTAAAATTCTTATTATAAATCCCTAAATGCATAACCTTACACTTCTCACTATTAAATTTCATCCTATTGCTATCACTCCAAGGGTATGTCTACACTACCCTCCTAGTTCGAACTAGGAGGGTAGTGTAGACATACCCTCAGAGAGTGGGTGAGGGGTTGCTGAGCGTGCCCCCCCCCTTTTCCTTGGGAACACCCTTGGGATGCCAGACCACAGATGTTGCCAGACGAGGGAAGTTCATGTTCATAAACAATAGATTAAGGAACATTCCAGGGGTGGGTGTTTGAGGCTTGAGCTTACCATAAATGTCCGCAGCACTGCAAAATATTCAAAGCTGTCATTTACTGGCCTGTAGGCGGAGTTCAACTCAATAGGCACCTTTTGACATATTTTTGTATCAGTAAGTCATTATTTTATAGATGTTTTAACAGGTTTCTTTGAAGAAACCACTAGTATGTTGCTAGCACCCTAATAATTAAGATTGGACGTACGGGCTATGTGGATTTGTATGTAAATCAGTGGTTCTCAAACTGTGGTCCGCAGATGAGCCATGGGCTCAGGACTTATCCCCCTTGCAGCAAAGAGACTGCGGTGACACTCCAGCCGCATGCTTCCCCCTCGCAGGCTAGACCCAGCTTGTGTGGGAAGGAAGCACCTCCACCACACTGCTGCTCTCCCTCCCCTCAGCTGGGGGAAAGGCACTGCTGGCCTCAAGGCCTTCCCCACTGCTCCCATTGGCAGGAATCATGGCCAACGGGAACAGCAGGGAGCGGTGCCTGGGAGTGGCAGGAGGCAGAGAGTCAGGTAAGCACCCCCCATTCCTCTCCCACCCCCAGTCTCCACACTCTCACCCTGTTCCTTCACCCTTCCTCCCAGACCCCACCCCACCCTGAGCCTGCTCCTGCACCCTCCCTCTGACCCAGACTCTGCATCCTCAGCCCTCTCCTGCACTCTCCCTCCTTCCCAGACCACCCACCCCCACCCTGCTCCTAGACCCAGGCAGATTCTCCCACCTTCAGCCTCCTCCCAACTTATCAGCCAGACCCCGCATCCCCACCCTCTCCTCACCCATTTTGTCATCATGGGTGCTTGGCTCATGGCCCATGGAAAGGTCTACATTAAGCAGAATGGGCCATGGGCCAAAAAGTTTGAGAACCACTGATGTAAATAAATTGCAACATTTGGCACAGCCTGTTCTTGAAAGCAGATATGTTAGTAAAAGACAGCATAGTGGGTAAGAGAATGAGCAACAAGGGCAATTTTGTTTAATTTGGGGGGAAGTCATAAGTCATAATGCAGCAGTGTCATAAAAGTTAGAGATGGAAAAGACCGATTTATTGGACACCCAATCCATCTGCTTGCCAGTTCAGCTTTGTTTCCTGCAGTAAATTTTGTAGTGTTATGTTCTGCATTGTTTTAAAAATCCCAAATGTTGGCACTGCCAACACATTTGTTGGAATTCAGAAAACTATACTCCCTATCATAAACTCATAGTCAAGATCTTTTTTCTGTTATACTCAAGCTATTTTTTCTTGTCTTACTTCTATCCCACTGCTCCTAGTTATACCTGTTTAATATACATTGGTGCAAATAACTCTTCTTTGTCTACTAAGAGGTGCAGCTCAGAGTTCAGGGAATGGAGATGGGACATTCTGGCAGCTTTAAACCAGCTTCATGTATTCCCAGTCCTGAGCTGGCCTGCAGCCTCTGTGTAATTAGACAGCTGGGCAAATCCAGACTGAAATGTTAGCACTCCATAAAACAGAAAATGGTGAGCACCCACCCTCTGAAAATCAGATTCCTTCAAACAGTGTTTCAAATTGGAACCCTAAAAAATGGAGGCACTCAAAATTACTAGTTAATTCTGACAGTGCCAAGAT